TGAGGCAGATCTTCGTCATCGTGGATAGGTTTAGCAAGTATGCTAGGTTAATAGCCATGCCGGAAACAGCGAAGACCGAGTATGTAATCAGGCTGTTCAAAGAGAACTGGGTGAGGAATTTTGGATTGCCTAAGTCTATGGTAAGTGACAGGGATGTCAGATTTACAAGTGAATTATGGAAGGCCGCTGCAGCTGAACAAGGAACTCAACTGCAGATGACTTCTGGAAACCATCTAGAAGCAAACGGCCAGGATGAACAGATGAACCGTGCTGTCCAACACCTGTTGAGGCATTACATTCAGCCCAACCAGGTGGACTGGGACGAGAAGCTTGCTCTTGTCGCCAATTTGTACAATAACGCTGTACACAGCGCTACTGGTGTAAGTCCTAACAATCTACATCTAACCTTTAGGCCTAGACTGCCTTTAGACTTCCTACTTCCTGATAACCAGCCAACTGTTACGCCGGGCACTTTGGAGTTCGTGTATCGTTATGAACAGAAGATGCAGGAGGCTGTAGAGCACATACAGAAGGCGCAGGCAGCAATGATAGAATCTGAGAATAAACACCGCCGCCCTTCTACATTTCAGGTTGGGGACAGAGTCTGGGTCAAATCTTCAAAACTGGGACAGGAGTTCGGGATATCCCGCAAACTCATGCCTCAGTACTTTGGACCTTGGGAAGTTTTAGACTTACTAGGGACAGATCCTGATGGTCCATCGTTATCTCAGAACTTACCCAGTCTTTCACGCCTCTAAGCTCACTGCATTCAAGGAAACTGATCAGTTGCTGCCCCCAACCATGGACGGAGAAGTCGACATCGATGATATCGTTGACCACAGGGATCAGTTTCCCTCTCGTCGATCCATGCTGCCCCCGACCATGGACAGAGAAGTCGACATCGATGATATCGTTGACCACAGGGAGATGCCTGTTCAGAAGCCTCCAGGAAGGGGACGTCCTCCAAAGCCAAAGCTGCAGTTCCGAGTCCACTTCAGACATCATACAGATCCGAAGGAGGACCGCTGGTTTACTCGGGAGGAACTGATGCAGACCGCTCCTCAAATCGTTGCCCGCTATGAGAAGGATGTACTGAAAGGAAAGCGCCAGATGGCTGCAGATTGATCTTCGCAGAGGACTAACGAAGATACGGAGGAGGGAATGCGAGGCTACGCCCACTTAGCCCCTACGGGGCCCTATCTGCAACAAGGTCGGCCGCCCTAAGTGAAGGCAGGCACGACAGGCCCTTCGGGCCGCATTCTTCAGGGTACCCCCCATCGGGGAAATTCAGACAGTTGCGTTGCGCCAGTTGGTTGAATGAATCCAGGCCCTGGGCCGCCTGTGTAAATGAATGTGAAGCAGGCCCTAGGCTGGATACGGGTACCGGGCCAAACACAGGCCGGAAGCAGTTGGGCGCATGGAACCACTTCAGGCCCAAGGCCTGCTCTCTTCGTGACTGGGCCTGTGCCTACCGGGGCCTACCGGAAGCTTCCTTGACTGGACGCAGGCAGGCCACTTCGATATAGGGAAGGGCCTGCCTCCTCATTCGGCATTCGGGTGCTGGCTGCATGCTGCGCAAGCGCTGCTGCGCTCATTGCTGGCTGGCTGGCACTCACGCTCTCACGGGCGAGCAGGGAGGTAGCGGGCAGCCATAGTCGAGCTGCTCCGCTGTAGGCTGGATGTGACGCAGGGTGGTCCTTGGGTGCAAGTGGCATCTGTGTGGTGTGGATCGAGGTTGTGAGTGTTACGAGAGACATACCTGGTGCTGGAAGCGTGCGGCGTTGTCCGCTGTATGCTCGTACTTCAGGGAGCTGTTGTTGTCAACATCAGCAGTGTAGTATTAGGCTACATAGGATCTGCCACAAGTAGTCTGGGCGCCGAGCGCCAATAGGATATCAACTCTTGTTCTTTGTTGATGATGATGAGAGACTATTTCAGCATTGTCAATTACGAACTATTGGTGTGTTCTGATTTGGTGAATCTCGTGATGCATGACTGCTGTTGGTTCGAGGTCAAGACTATCTGGACACATATGTATGATGCTGTTTGATTGCTGGAGTTCGCTAATGCTCATCTTCCTTGCACAGCTAAGTAACCCAAGTTTAATTTTTATGGCCTTGAAAAGCATTCTCTCAGCCACGGCGCACACTCGGGAATCAATCAACAAATGGAAGGACACCTACTGAAGGTTGGCAGAATTTGCTGAAAAAGACCATTGGAACACCACAAAACTGGCTATCTGGGAAAAAAAAAACAACCTGCAAATCAGACAAGCATTCTCTCGGCCACGGCTCACACTCAGGAACAGGATAAGCAGCAGGTCGGGAAAAACGCAAGGCGGGCTGGATTGCGATAGAGCCAGCAGCTGGCCCCGCTGTGCTATCTATGGCCCCACTGTGATATCTATCAACTTGCTATAATTGGCTGGTAGAGTGCCATAGGGACACCAGAGGTCATGAGTCAAAGGTAACAGAACCATGACTGAAATTACGGCACGACCGTCGTCACCCAAACAGAACGCCCGGTCATTATCGCCAGATGTGGAGTGGAAGTTGGTCCAAATACAACTAAAATCACCCGGGGTTCTATTCGGGTGAAGACGGTGGGCACTGCATGAATGAGCCTCGCCTAGCAAACCAGCAAGACACCCCCCCAAAGTTTAAAAGAGAAACCCAGAGGAGGGACATGGCCCCGAACTTATGACTGTAATCTAGTGAGGTGTTGCCCCATGGAGGACCCTCTGGGGCATTGCCCCATGGAGGACCTACCATCTTCCCCCAAATAGAACGTACGGTCCAGATTGCTCTATCTGGACTGAAAATTGGCCCAACTACGGTTAAAATGACTGAGTTTTATTCGGGAAAAGACGGTAGTGGTGGAGAAATGTGCACCATAACACCTTGGAGGCCGATCGACGAAAACGTTCAGCTGAAATGATGAAATCCAGTGGCTTTTCTTGGCCTGAAAGCATCTCCCATAGGGATCAACTAAGCACGAATCTGTGTCAGCAAGCTGTCCAGGTTCGTACGCAAAGCATGCGGAGAACAGCATGCTGACTGGTCAGACAGACCTGTTTCCTCCTCACCTAGAGGAACAGCAGGAAGACATCGATTGACTCTTGGTCAACCTTGCAAACAGGCAAAGTTAGTTGACCACCATGGTCAACTTTGGCAAATTGACCACGGTCAACTTTGGCAAAGTTGACCATGGTCAAATTTGGCATGGTCAACTTTGGCAAAGTTGACCATGGTCAAATTTGGCATGGTCAACTTTGTAAGCAGGGAAAGTTGACCATGGGCAGCTTTGTAAGCAGGCAAAAAAAAGTTGACCATGGGCAACGTTGTAAGCAAGCATCTTGAATGAGAAACAGTCACCGCTAGCAGAATCCCCGCCGTCAACAAACGAAAAGGTCCGTAGGTCCGCACTCTGTATTCCCCATCGACCACCAGATTCGCCAACAAAGAAAAGTGGTAATCACCAATGTGCCACCATTCCAAACAAATCCATAATTACTTCCAGATACGCAAACAGGGTGCAGTGCCTGCCGAGCACTTGCCTGCTTGACCGTGACATTATTGCTAAAGAACACAACCATTCACTGGGTGGGCCTTCTGCGTTGTCATCAACAACTGTGCAGCCTGCCTGACAAAGGGTCGGAATGGCTAAGCTACAGCAGAAGATCTATGCACAGAGAGTGTCACTGCGTTCTATTTGCAACATCTGCAGCAACCAACAGGTGGTGAATGGCTTGTCCAAATGATCACAATCAGCCTGAAAGACCAGAGAGGGAACGTTCTACGAAAAGACTCCGAGCAATCAATTAAATTTCAAGCTTCAAAGAAAAAGAGGATGACAAATGTTTCAAGATCATCCAGAAACAGGCGTCAGAGAAGGAAGGGGAGGGAAGAGGAG